CTCGCACGGACTTCTGGAGTGTTTGATATTTTGCTCGTTCCTCGTGAGGGTATCGCACTGTTGAAGCGGCGCAGCGAGCGGCTGCAACCCGAAAAGTACCAGAACCGCTCAAGGCGCATGTGCAATCATGCATCAACACCGCTCACCCGCTATTTCCCAAATAACACGTTGTTTGTTTTTATTTCTACACGTTTTTTTTTACACACAGTGACAAGGATTGTCAAGAAAGCGTGTTTGTCGTGTTCATGTCAAATTAAACTGATCACAAAACACAGATTTACTTTCTTTATTTCGTTTTCCTCATCCAACCCCCATGAATCCCTGTGTGTCCTCCTGCAGCACTCCCGAAGGACAACGGGCAAAACAAGACAAAAAAGTCTGACGTGTTGTGTAAAAACTGCTATTTTTAGCATATTTTTAGGTCCGACATGTTGCTACCAGACGTACAGTGTGAGCACATGGCTCGTAAGATCTGCCCCGCGAGGAAGTCGTACAGTTTGAGCTGAAGCTGAGTGCTACGAGTGAAAAAGTCGCTGTCTGTGTGTGCGCGTGGATGCCTGGGCCGAGATGACTGAGCTCACGGCAGCAGAGTTTTGTGTGTAGGGAGGGGCGGGCGCTCTATGTGACTGGCCAATCACAGAGCGTGAAGACAGTAAGTTACCCAATGAGGATTTTCCTTCAGCACGATTATAGATATTTACGAGTTTTACACTCGTTTCATGCTCGTATTCGTCAAAAATGCTTTATCCGTATGCTCATCCCTAGCTGTAACCACCCTGCCCTGCCTCCTCCTCCTTGCTTCCTGCCGGCTGTGATCACAAGCAACAACAGAGTAGTTCCCGCTGCTTCTTTGGAAAACGGCGCAAAAAAAAAATCAATCAATAAAACTTGGGATGTTGTAGGCGTGGCGGTGGGATTTCAGCTGTGGCGGACCGCCACGGCTACGTCTATGTAAGGGAAACACTGCCTTAGCGGAAGTCCCCGTCTAAATCAGGAGGTGTAAAGGTCCAGCTTGACCTCATGGAGCCGAAGCCCGTAGAAGCAGCCGCGGCAGCCGACCACCCGTCTTGAGATACTCCCGGGTCATGACAGTTTTTTTGGCATCTAATGAGACTCAAACCTGGGTCGTGATGGTTCAGCTTTTATTCTGAAAGGAACTGTTGCAGCAGGTGGAACAGCAACAGATTTTATCCAGCTTGTCGTTGGTTCTTTTGGTTGAAGAGGAAAGTTACGGATTGGCCACTCCGACAACTTCTCTAGAACGCTTTGAACTGGCGTTAAAGATGACGTGGGCATAGTTTTATACTTCGGATGTTTTGGTTTATGGTCGAATGAAAAGATGACAGATTTACCAAACACCACCAAAACCACGCCTCCGTCAGATCTGGCAGATTCTGATTGGATCAGTAAAGCAATGTGTCATGTCTTGACGCTATGTGTGATCAGTCCTAGTGGCAACATTTAAAGTTATATTACTTATTATATTCTATAGGGTTATAATAAAGTAATTAATATTTTGATTTCACAGATTGGTCACATCTTATTATTGACTAACACTTTGTTTGATTAGTTTTATTAAAATAGAGTTCTTTGATTTATTAAAAGGAGAGAGTCCTTTCTTCAATCTTCTCTTGAGCTGGAAAGAAAGCAGTTTATAAGCAAATGCATGAGACCTTGAGGCCATATCTCATGCAGACTAGTTCTGTGTCAGAGGAGAGGGGGCAAATGACTTTTGGTGGAAAACAGTCATTTCATTCTGTTACAGGGCACCAGGTGGGTGACCCCTGGTCCATTGTCCAAGGTCAACGCAGCCGTCTACCAGGAAGTTTTAGAGCACTTCATGCTTCCTGCTGCTGACCACTTTTATGGAGATGCAGATTTCATTCTCCAACAGGACTTGGCGCCTGCACCTAGTTTAAGGACCATGGTCTCCCTGTTCTTGATTGGCCAGTGAACTGGCCTAACCCTAACCCCATAGAAAATCTGTGGGGTTTTGTGGAGAGGAAGATGCAACACACCAGACCCAACAATTCAGATGAGCTGAAGGCCACTATCAGAGCAACATGGGCTCTCATAACTCCTGAGCAGTGCCACAGACTGCGGTAATCCAGGCCAAACACCGAGTGCTGTACATGCTCGTACTTTTCAGTTGGTCAACATCTCTCAAATTCCTTTTTTCCGTTGGTCTTAATAGATAGTATAATATTCTGAGATACTGAATATGGGATTTTCATTACTTGTCAGAAATAAACATTTGAAATATATTATTCTGTATGATGAATTAATCTAATATACAAGTTGGAACAGGATTACTGAAATAAATCAACTTTATCATGATTTTTATGCCCAGCACCTGTACAACAGTAAAACCTGTAATGCTCTACAGTAATTGTGTTTATTATGGGGAGTTTGCACCCTCCAGAACACGTCCACACCCAGCAGAAGTCTATGTAAAGTTTTTATGTAAATCAGCTCTGAAATGTTTTCCCTCCTTGGGTTAAGTTTCACACCGATTTTAATGCGATTGCATAAATTATTGCACTGTCTCTTTCAGTGGGAACTTCCCAAAATCAGAAGCTAAAATACGATCCTGCTGCATGTCACTGAAACTGAAAGCGAGCCGCCATTTAAATGTGTCCACACGCTGATGCCGCCATCACAACGTCCAGGTTCAGAAGCAGCTTCATGTTGGAAAATGTTATTATTTATTATGCAGTCCTCACAGAATATTTAGCTTCAGCTACGTTTCTGTTTTGAATTTGATCGCTAATGTAACGTCACGAAATGGACTGATTTTAAAGATCCCACAGGCCATATGCAGCCCGAGCAAATAACCCTGGCTACTACATGTCCTGCTGTATTTTCCCTTGTCAGGAGTCTGAGTCTGCACAACTCAGCATTTTAATCAGATGACTTCATCAGCTGAGCGCAGCTTCATCCGTTAATAAAGATGAACAGTAGCATTCCTTTCCCCAAGGTTCCTTCACAAGAGAACGGTTTTAGATAAATCTTTATTCCCAGAAGAAAGATGATTTCATAGTTAAAGTAATCATTTTATAATTCTAAATAATCATTGAAGAAAGAAGATTTTATGATTAAAAATCATTACATTGCCATGTATAATTAAGCAATGAAATGTTCAGGAATCTGTATTCAATGATGGTTTAGTATGTTTACAAGATGTGGTCATCACCGTCTGCTCATTACACCAGACAAGAAGTAAGGCTAAAATTATGAATGCATGACACATAACTAACTTTGTCCCTAGACTCCGAGACTCTGCGTCTCAGAGCGTGTTTCTGAGATTCTTGGTAAGTTTGGTAATAGATAACAGCGGGTATATAAACCAGCCGCTTTGCTTTCTTGGCAATGGGGAGAGAAAGCTGGAGACTGGCCATCTCTTAGCAGATCTCTAGCTCAGAAAGATTTTAGCACGCTGTCAAAACCTTAAAGCTTTTTGCACCTGCGAAGCTGAACAACAAGATAGTTTTCCTGCAGAACAAAGCTGACTCCAACTCCTTCGGAGTTGATTTTAAGACGCTTGGTTCCATTCATCTATCGTTGTGACCCGGAGGCATCTGAGGACTGATTTGTTGGCATCAAGGTTTCTCTACGAACCAGGTGCAGTGGGGTCGTCGGCTCCTGGACATCTCTGATCCAATCAGGGTCTCCAAATGGGTGAGGTAGACACAACGAGATAGCGTCTGCATGTGGTTCTGATAATAGCAACTTTATAGTTTAGATGCAAACCAAATTCTTTTATTCAGAACGCACCTCTCTGAAGTTACAGAGATTCTGATTCATCATCTCATATTCACATATAGTTTTCAGACACCCATCTTTTAGTTCCATCCCCTCACAGGATAATAGTTTAAACCATTTGTCAAAGTCTTAATTGTTTGTAAAATAAATTCTTATTTGTTTACAAACACTGACTGGTTCTTGAATCATAAACGAAGTGTGAACGATCCCTTAATAATTAAAAGAATCCTAGAACCTTCTAATTAATCATCCTAAGACCAAGCAAGGTGATATTCTATAATCAGAGTATTACAGCTAGTGGTCACAAGTAATGAGAATAGAAATAAATAGCTTGTAAAGCAATTTATTTAGCCCTCATTACTCTTATTTTCCATTACACTAACAAAAGGCTTCCTGTAGAGAGTTGTGTGTAGTTTGTGTGCTGCAAAACGTTTAAGATTTCCGGAAACGGCTTGTACTAATTAACTAATTAATTTGTTTTCTCAAAGCAAAATGATACAACATCAAAATAAAGGAGAGAAACCACTGCAGGATGACCTTTGACCTCCCCCCGATCATATGGACCTGTTTAGGGTCAGCTCAGTGATTGCCTGGGTCTGAAAACAGCAGATACAACAACGCAATCACCACGCGGGGTTTGTTTCTGCTGGTTTTAATAAATAAATGAATACAGAAAATTTGGTGCTAAAAGACCGCAGCAGTTTTACCCTGGGCAGCGGCCCCCTGACCCTCGCTGTTGCAGAGCGACAGAAGAGCTGCAGATGCAGGCGATGCGTGTGAATCCAGATGTGCGCGATAGACTCAATCACAACCAAAAGTCTTATCTGCAGCTTCCTGCTCAGCGGAGCCGCGGCTGGAGGGGAGTTTCTCCTCTGCTGCTGTTTGTTGTTTGTGTCATTCTGTGGTTTTTCTGCCCTACCTACAGCTGTCTGACGTGCGCGGCAGGGTCGTGCACGTCACCAGCAACAGTTTGTGTCAGCTGATGTTTTGCATCGTGCATTTGGAAGTTCTGTGGAGGCTAATAAAAGCTGATCTTGCATCACTGTTGCGTGTTTCCCCCCCGAATGCTCTCGGATTGCATCACGGCTGCAGACGCTGCAGCACAGCCCCTGAAACATTCCAGTTCATTAAAGAAGGCTTTATTCCTGATTGGGTTTTTCATCTGCAGCCAACAGTTATGCTCAGATTAAAAGTTACCCAACAGGAGCGTTAAGGTCTGTCTGTTTTTGTGTCTGCAGCCACGGACTCCATCGCTTCTTCTCGTGTCGTGGCATCGCGCTGGCCGTGGAGACGTTCTGGAGACGAGGACACAGGGAGATCACGGTGTTCGTCCCTCAGTGGCGTCAGAAGAGAGACCGACTCTCTACAGGTACGCCGGCTGCACACGGATCTGTTCTGCGGCTGCTCTCCTGTCTGAAACCTTTATGATAAATCAGAGAATTGTACAAAAGGATGACACTCAGACACACAGCAGGCTGCCCGTCACTGACTGCTGTATTCGTGTTCGTCGTGTATGCAGCCTCCCATGATCCCAGCTCCATAATTAGCTTAACGCAGCCAGAAAGGTCTGTGTTGGTGATGGTTTGTCTCACTTTATAGTCAGTGGGTTGTGTTTGTGGCAAATGAGCAACTTCATTTATAATCATTGTTTAGCTTAGCAATATTTAGCACTTGCATAAATGTATATATTTTAGGGTACAAAGCAGGCTTTGTGGATGGATACTAATTTTATTTACTGGGAAAAATATGTTGGGATGTCTTTCTCATATTTCTGATGAAAGTTTGTCGTTTTTACTTCAGAACAACATTTCTTGAACAAGCTGGAAGACCTGGGACTTCTTTCCTTTACTCCTTCCAGGGAAGTATGCGGGCAAAGGATATCCTCCCATGACGACAGGTAAACACCCCAATCCTAATCCTCCTTTATACCTGTACAGGTGAGGTAAAGGTGAACACGGAGCTGCTGATTTAACAGCTGGTCGGGATCCGTTTGGAACATCACAGGAAAATCTGGAAGTTTAAACTGTGTTTAGATGAATGCTGAATAACTTTTAGATATTTTTGACCTTGAATCTGTTCAGTCCCAAACTTCCCTGTGATCCGCGGAGCTGACCTCTGACCTTTTGAGTTGTAGGGAATTCCTGAGTGCCTAATCCAAACACACCCTCTCATTTTCCCTTCTGCCAGGTTCCTGCTCCACCTGGCTGACAAAACAGATGGTGTCATCGTGACGAACGACAACCTGAGGGACTTTGTGGACACCTCTGTCTCCTGGCGCCACATAATCCAGGAAAGGTTTGTAACGTATGCAGAGATCCCGTCTTCTGGTTTGTTTGGATGTCACATCTCCACAGGTTCAACCAAAACCAAACAACACATTTAACGTTCCAGTTTCTTTTATATTTGAGTTTTCACAACAACCAGAAGAGTTTTATACCAGTTAGGGATGGGTACCTTTGACATTTGAATCGATTCGGTACTAATTCCCGGTAGGAATCGATACCGGTACTTAACGGTACCAATTTTAGATACTTTTGGGTGTTTAATATTTTAATTCTCTTTTATAGTTAAATATATATTTTCTCAATATATAACCATATTTGATAAATATCACGATAAATAACACACAACTGTTTGTATTTTAACATCGTCCTTGTAGTTTTATAAGCTGATAATTAAACTGAAGCAAACATCTTTACTGTGAACTAAATTTACTGTGTATCTTCATTCTTTTTGCCGTCTTTTTTCATTTGATTTTCATCTTCACCCAATCACCCGTCGCATTTAGTAAAGCGAAGCCAAACTTTAGAGCGCGTTCATGTTCTTCTAGTCGGAAATTCGGAGTTCCGAGGAGAAAGCGAACGCACCATTAGCGGAACGGAAGCTAACATATCAAGCTAACGTTATCTTAAACATTTTATTTACCTACCGGAGCAGATTAAGATGAGGATGTGTCACTTAGATCGTTGTCGCTGGTTTCATCATCACCCAGTTACCCATCACATTTAGTGAAGTGGACCCAAGCTTTAGCGTGCGTTCTTTCTACCATGCTGCTCTGTTTACAACACGCTCGCAGGGACCGACGACGTAACGCTCTTGCGCATGCGCAGCTGTCTAGGCAAGTTCTCATGAAGGACGGGTACCGAAACGAGGCACCGTTTGAAATGACGTGAATCGGTGCTCAGTCGGTACTATGGAATTCGGTCGGTACCTTAAAAAGTACTGAATTCAGTACCCATCGCTAATACCAGTGTTTTATTACATCACGGCCATCATGTGATGTATTCTTTGCTTTATGAATGAAATGAGCACCGTTGAAACTAATCTACATAAAGAGAAAAACACACCGCCGGTCTGAGGCTTCCTGCTGAGTCATTTTCATAAATGATTGAATCAAACAATCATAAAAGTTAGAAACCAAAACACCACCAAGAACAAATCTGGAAGGCTGCAACAACAAAAAGATGTTTGTTCATTTTTAATCAGAAGAATGTTTGTCGCCCCCTGTTGGTGAGCCTGCCTCTCGGCAACACCTGAAACCTGCCTCAGGAACACCTGTCGGGCTTCCTCTGGTCATGTGATGTAGCCGCTGACTAATTCCTGGTTTAAACTCGTTTTAATCTGCTGAACCTGCAGATTTTAGATTATAAATCGAACGTCACTGAGAGGGAATTCCTGAGAATCTTTAGCTGAGTGTCAGCCTGCTTTTTAGGATTTCTTGGTTTTCCAGGTTAGTGAACAGTCTTGTTCTCTAATTCTTAACCGACTATAAAACAGACAAAATATGAATCATAAATTTATTTAGTCTAATTTAAAGACTCTGCGTGATCAAAAACAAATTACCCCATAATCCCACCGGGATGAGATCATTCCGCTGAAAATGGTCCTGTTTCCCACTCATCCATATGAACAAACCTGAGACGGCTGGTTCAGGTGCTTCACCTGGGCTCTTCTGTCTATAATCATTTAAATTCGTCCCATTTTGCTTCTCAACAGGCTGCTTCAGTTTACTTTTGTTGGGGATCTCTTTATGATTCCTGATGATCCACTTGGGAAGCATGGGCCTCACCTGGATGTCTTCCTCACTAAAGTCAACAGGTGTGTATACCTGAGCCTGCAGAGGCTCACACACCTGTGGGTTGTGTTGCAGCAAATCTCCTGTTCTCCGTTTCACCTGCTTGTGTCCCCCTCCCTCCCCCAGGAGGCCCCCAGCCGCTCCCCAACCCCTGCAGCTCACAGACTTCCGGCCTCCTTCCCAGCAGCACCGGCCCCACTCTGGCCCCCCAGAGTGGCACCTGCCTGGCCGCTCGCCCTCCCCGTCGCCCTCTCCTCCACCCCAGAGATCGCCGGAGGAGACGTCGGAGCTGAAGGGAAAACTGTACGACATTTTCCCTGAGCAGAGGCAGCGCATAGATCGCATCCTGAGCGACAACCCGTACATGCGGGACCTGAACGCGCTGTCCGGGTTGTTGCTCGGCTAGAAGAAATTTGTAAATAATTATTGTATATAGATTATTATTTTTTTGTATATAGTTCAAATAAAAGATTTACAGTTCACATGTTGTTGTGAGTAATAACACATTATTCCAGAGGAAACCCTTGTTAGCCGGTGTTCCTGTTGTTCAGTGTCTGGCTAACAGAAGGAACTCCAGATGGAAAGAAGAAACAAAAAGCTCCAGCCAGAATCAGCAGTTTACAGGGCTGAAGGTCAGGTGTCTGTGTCGAGAAAGCTGGAGTTGGCTCCATCTCCATGGCAACAGGTTGGACTGGTTACCTGCTCTGATGCAGGTTAATCTAGAGGAATTCAGCTAATTCCTTAAACTGTGCCAACTTTGCAATAATCTGATTGCCAACAAATTATCTAAGTTTATTGTTTAAACTGCAGAACCAAGATTAACAATGTTAAAGCTGCTGTCAGAGGTTAATGTGGGTGACCAGGGTAACCTGTCCCTGTATGTTTCTCCTGTTCTACAACAGAAGAGCTCTCTTTCAGACAGGGAAAGAATATTTTAAATTAAACTGAAGTCAGGAAGTCTGCCACAGAAATGTTTCCACGTGTAATTTGTTTTTGTGCTAAAATAGATGTGAAAATGTTCCACTCAGAATGGAGAAACTCACCTGCCTGCAGGTGTAACTGCTAACCTCTGACTGAGAATTGGTTAAACAAAACTTTATATGTAAGTTTAATTCACTTACATCATATTAATGTTAATGTAAAGATGAGAAACTAAATGCTGTTTGGAGGTGATGTCACTCTGGCTGGGATGACATTTAACCTCGGCATGTTCGTAAAAGATGAGCGTGTGTGTATTCTGCCTCTGAGCCACTAGGGGTCAGTGTTTGTTCAGCCATGGCGGGTCGCTTCACCTGTTACAGGTGTTAACAGGTAAAAAAATTCTCATTTTATTTACAATTATGTGGAACAAGAAAATTCAGGTAGGAGTCAACTTCAGACTAAAGGTCGTTTTTGTCTTCATGAGTAAATATGTATCAGATAATCAGAGGATCTGAAACAAAGTAGAAGAAGAAAATATGATTTCTATAGTGCCTCTCAAGATAAAAATCACGAGGCGCTTCACAAAAACTAAAAAAAATCAAAATGTAAAAATATAAAAAAGCATTTAGAAAATGTTTAAAATATGTTTAAAATGAGCAAAAATAAGCAATTGCAATTTAAAAGAAATAATGTTAAGAAAGAGAGAGAGTGAATAGGAAAGAGGGAAATCAGTGGATCCTGAGGAAGGTGGAATAGGTGGGGAGAGCAGAATAAAGAGAGAGTGGTGAAGAAGGTCATACAAAAGCCAGCTTGAACAAGTGAGTCTTCAACTGCTTTTTGAAGGAGACCACTGAGTCCACTGATCTCAGGCTCAGGGGGAGAGAGTTCCAGAGTCTGGGGGCCACAGCAGCAGAACATCTGTCACCTTTGGTCTTTACCCCGGTGCTGCACAACCAGTAGGCTTTGATCACTGGACCTCAGGGACCTGCTGGGGGTGTAGAGACTAAGAAGATCACCAATGTAAGATGGTGCTTGTCCATGTAAGGCCCTATAGACCAGAACCAGGATCTTGAAATGAACCCTGAAGTTGACTGGCAGCCAGTGAAGCTGGAGGAGAAGCGGGGTGATGTGGGTGTGTTTGGAGGACTTGGTCAGAAGCCGAGCACAGGCATTCTGAACCACCTGTAGACGGTTCAGGGAGGTTCTGCTCAGACACGTGAAAAGAGAGTTACAGTAGTCTAAGCGTGAGGAGATGAAGGTGTGGAGAACTGTCTCAAGTTCAGAGTGGGACAGAATGGGACCCAGCTTAGCAATGTTCCTGAGATGGAAGAAGACAGCGAACAAGAGAAATGACATGAGAATCCAGGGTGAGAGCTGGGTCAAAGGTCACGCCAAGATTCCTGATGGAAGGTTTGGTGTGGGAAGCAAGCTGACCAAGAGAGTCTCTGACTTTGGGAACCAGCTTGTCTGGGGCACAGATGAGGATCTCAGTCTTATCTTCATTCAGCTGAAGAAAGCTCCCACCATCCAGGTTTTGATAGAGTCTAAGCAGGTGTGTAACAGCTGCAGCTTAGACATCTCATGGGGCTTAAAGGAGATGTACAGTTGGATGTCATCTGCATAAAGATGGTAGGAGATTCCTTTGAAGGAGCTCAGGATGTGCTGAAAAGGAAGCAGATAGAGGAGGAAGAGCAGAGGCCCCAGCACAGAACCATGTGGGACACCATGGGTAAGAGAGGTGGTGGAGGGCCTAAACTTGGAGACGGCCACAGAAAAGGAGCACTCAGAAAGATAAGAGGAGAACCACTCCAGAGCAGATCATGATAGGCCTACCCAGTCTCTCAGCCTCTCCAGTAGCAGGTGATGGTCAACAGTGTCAAAGGCAGCAGTCAGGTCCAACAGGACCAGAACAAGTAGTTGGTAAACAACTGGATTTGAGTGAATTTTGCAGGAATTCATGTAAAAAATAACCAGTTTTGTCTATTTTAGAGGTAAATGTTAACTTTTATCCTTTTTAAAGGTAGAAAACTTTTTATTTCTTCCTTTTATTTCAGAGAGCTCCAGTTTCTCACTTTGGTTTTATGCAAATGTGTCTGACTGAACAGGATGTTGAGTTTTTTTAAACAAAGAAACACTTCTCATTTTAGCTCCAGGAAAACAAAAGAAAGGAAAAGTGACCTCAAAGTTCTGGCTCATTATTTACATCCTTTTTATTTGATTTAGCCCAGAAACCGAAACCAGCGCGACTCGTAGGTCATCATCAGGCTGGAAACCTCTGCTGTCATGCAAATCCAAGTCACACAGAAAGTCAGCTGACTAGAAAAAAAATACCGTCACTCAGCTGCAGGTTTGGATCAGCTCAACATGCAGCAGAAACTCCCACACAGTCTAATTTAGGGCAGGTGAGGGCGTCTAGCTGTTTTTGCACAATAAGACCTCTGTGTGCACAACACTTGCGCACTTGTTCAGGTTTTATTATCCAGCATTCAGACTCAATGGTTATCTATGGAAGCCCGTTCTCACCACTCTGATAAAAAAAAACAATCTTGCATCTCATAATCATAAGATAAAACAATGCAAACAAAAGATGATGAGAAGAAAATCTCTTCATATCCTTAAAGATAGCCATTTACAAAACTTTTTGGTTTGACTTTTCTTGCCGTCCGAGCATCTTTTCCATACGCTCTGGAAACCAGCTGGGACAATTAGCTTTCATAACCAATCCTCTTGTTTAATCCCCAACCCCACTTAACCGTCTGCACTGGGGGTGGGGGCTCCCTTATGTCGAAATTACTGCGAAAGAAGCAACATGACCTCTTAATCTTAATCCTGGCCGGCTGCGTGAACGCAGCATCGAGCCTGAGTCACATGGTCTGGACTTCTTCTCCATTCAGCTGCAAACAAGAGTTAGAAAGTATTCTTTATGCAGCGCCTCAAGATAAGATTCACGAAATGCTTCACAAGAAAAAAAAATCAATGATTTTAAATATATCGTAACAAAAATGTGGAAAAGGGAAAAGTTAGAAATCAGGAGGAAAGAAAATGAATAACAAAAAAGTAATTAGGGGATTCAGATGAAGACAGAACTGGCAGAAACTGCTGAATGAAGAGGAGGTCCCACCAAAGCCTGAACAGGTGAGTTTAAAGGAGACCACTGAGTCCACTGATTTCAAGCTCAGGGGGAAAGAGCAGCAGAACATCTGTCACCTTTGGTCTTTAGCCTGGTGTTGCACAACCAGTAGGCTTTGGTCACTGGACCTCAGGGACCGGCTGGGGGTGTAGGGACTAAGAAGATCACCAAGGTATGATAGTGCTTGTCCATGTAAGGCCCTAAAGACCAGAACCAGGATCTTGAAATGAACCCTGAAGTTGACTGGCAGCCAGTGAAGCTGGAGGAGAAGCGGGGTGATGTGGGTGTGTTTGGAGGACTTGGTCAGAAGCCGAGCACAGGCACTCTGAACCACCTGTAGACGGTTCAGGGAGGTTCTGCTCAGACACGTGAAAGGCCAGTTGCAGTAGTCTAAGCGTGAGGAGATGAAGGTTTGAATCAGTCATCAAAATACAAAGAAAAGCAGGTGGAGCTTTTTGTAACAGCAGGAATATGAGGTGTCCTAACCTGAAGTGTCAGTGGAGACGCAGCTAATGTCATCTTACAATATGTTTTGTAAAATGTTTTAGAACTTTGTAGCACAGACTCATCATCGGCCTGAAGGGCAGAAAAGAAAATAAACAATTGTTATAATAAACATCCTACCTGTTGCTACCTGAACAACCTCAGTTTTGGAGAAACATATTAGTTCTGATCAGACTAACGAGTTAAGCGCTCGTCACAGTAGCACTGGTTATGAATGTGTGAACGTGACTCAGAGAGGAAGAGCAGTTCGACCTGAATGTTTTCCATTCAGGAGACGAGTCAAAAAGGCTGGAGAAAAAGATGTAGTTGCATTAACTTTAAAATATAATTAGTTTAATAACAGTCATACTTTAGATGTTTATATATTTCCAGCCAATATGGACAGTTCCTTTAAAACATCATTAATTAAATGTAAAGATTGATAAACAAATATTTTTAAGGTTTATATTAAGACAGGATTCCTAACCATGGGGGGTGGACAGCGCCTGGCCCCCATGCTGGCCCCCCTGCTCTGGACTCACGCAAGGCGCGCTCCCGACACGAACTTAAACAACCGAGCGCGCTCCTGGTGTCTGCTCGGAGCTTCAGGAGCGGCGGTGCCGATGTGTACAAGGAGCAGACGGATGCACGACGACAAAGAGGGCCCCTGCGTCCACCACCGCGCTGTGAATCCCCGCAGCCACCCACTCTGAGCTCAAAGACGTCGGTTCCGAGGTAAACGGTGGCGTCTTGTCCGGTAGAAAACCGAATTTTAAGCGTAGAGTCTGTCGGTGTAAACAACAGCAGACGTTAGCCTCCCTGTTAGCGTCATGCTAATGCTGCGCCAGCTAACGAGCCGCTTATCCCGGTAAAATCCTCCCGTTTGTGCTGCTAACAAGTTGACAGCCATTAGGAAGAAACGGTGGCTTTAAAATTCACCGGTCGGTTTGTGAGAAACCTACCGGTGTCTGTTTTTCTGTCGGTTTTGGCAGAAGTCACCGACAGAGCTAGCATGTAAGCTTCAGGATTCCGTTGGAGGCTGGACGGGGCCTGCTGTTAACGGGTGTCTGCAGCGACACATTCAGCTTCGGTTCGGCACAAACCCAACTGGCTGTTGTTGGTAAACAGAACTAATCTGCGATGCCCGGAACCGATCCGCGGTTCTCGCGTTTAAAACGCCGGTGCTCAGCTGAGACCGATGAGCGATGGCCGGTTTGATTTAGCTCTCACCTGTGGTGGAGGTAGGCTGCCATGGCTCTAAAAGCAGCATAGAAGGTTGGGTCCATCCTTCAGGGAACCGCTAAGGCGTTTTCTACACCAGGAACCAGGGTAGTTTTCTGGGTCTGTTCTGATTATCATGATTCACCCTGTAGCTCCCAAGACCTTAACTGGAACCTGAAGACCAACGGCTGGGAATCTGCTGGAGATCCTGGGAAATCTCGTTCTGGGTCACATTCTCAATCCATCAGACGAGTTTAGTGCTTCCCAGGTAATCTCAAAAATACTCCACCTGGAGGTAAACCCATACCCTGGTAACCTGGTGTGGTTCTGGTACCTGGAGCAGAACCACACCACAGTAGTTCCTGAAGTGGATACACACCTTACAGTACATGTTCGGCATGTTTGGGTTCATAAGTGATGAGTCTGAAAAGCTTTCAGCTGATCCTTGTTGTTTTGGATGATTTTCCATATTTTGGTACCTGTCGTGGGTTCTGTACATTTATACAGCTTTATTATATTACGGCTCCTGACACACACACCAGTGTTCTTCACCACACTAGCATCCTGGACCATTGTTCTACTGAGCTACCAGATGGATAGGAATGGCACCCGTCTTGTTGTTAGTCTGCCTGCGTGGTCTGAGCTGCTTTGTGTTCACTTCTCCAATGTTGACTTATCATCTCACTGTCGCACGATGCTGTTTTATTTTATTGAAGTGTTGTTTGTTTACTAAGCGTGTGTTTCTGTTAAGATATTATCATGTTGTTTTATAGCTCTAAACCCAGAAACGGGTTACCAGGTTAGTGATGTTGATCATCTATCTGTTCTGTGTGTTTCAGAGCTTTAATTAAAGTCTGTTTTTTTATTGATTTTAAATAAGTGGCTTTTATAAAACCATGAGTAACTTTTGTGTTTTGTTCTGGACTTAAATTGCTTTTGACCTCTACTTGTTGAGGCTTATTATGATAAAAGTAAATTGGTTTTTAGAAGAAATTTGTCAGAGATGCATCATTTGTATTATAGAAAACCCTAAAATTCAGAAGCTTTTATAGGTTAAGTGGATATGCAGAGAAACTTGTCGTCCCAGTCCTCTGTCATTTCTGTGTTGATATACAGTATTGATCTCCTACTAAACCTAATCAGCCTTTCAAAGACCGGAGCGGTTCTGTTCTGATGTGATGCCAGATGGCAAACAGATGTGTCATTTTAACTTATACAACTAGTAATTATTAAATAAATATCGTTTTAAGGATTTTAGAATTTTCTACTAGCTGTAGAAAAGATTTTATCCAGTTTTTTTTTAAAGTTAACCATGATTTCTCCCTTAAGGGTGTTTTTATTACATGGAGGATAAATTAAATTTCATCAGGATGTCACTTGAGTTTTTACACACTTGCAGGAGCATTTTTCAATGTTTTCGTCATTAAATCGGATTCCATTAGATTTCATCAGCCTTGTTTGTATGATCTAGATTTTTATTGATACATTGGTAATATCTGGACTTGATTGGCGCGTATTTTGACTCATTCTCTCGTTCCTTGTGCTCTGACCCTCTCCTGCACAGACGGCTGAATTGCTGCTCCTGCTGCTATGTGTCCTTTCAGTGAACTGTTGATGGTTAATTAAAGTCCCTTAAAACGGTCCGAATGTTGGAGAGAACCCGATAGAACCAGTGCTGGGTACTTCTACATCTTCACGTTACCATAAAAAGATGTAAACATTAACATTTTCTTGTTTATCATATAACGGCTGTACTTCTAAAAGACCCAACCTCATGGGTCATTTCTTGGAGGAATGGGAGAGGTGATGGTTCTGACCGGGTTTGGTATCAGGCCTGACTTCAGGTTGTTGTTATACATCACAGCCTTTAGCCTGAAACATGGTTTTGCACAGACGGCTTCTGTTTTCTGGTTTTCCTGAGATCGGATGCTTTGTGAAGTGCAGAAGTTTCAGATGGAATCAGAATGTTTTTCATCTAATCTGGAACACAACAGCTGATGCAGGAGGGGTGTTTGTTTGTGGAAGAGGAACGGAGGAACTGTAGTGAGTCACTGCTGTGGTGATGGTGAGGTAATGTGAGCTCCGTTAGCGATGCCAAAAGGGAGTCCCAGCGCGTGTGTGTGTGTGTGTTTTTGAAGGTTAAAGGAACTCTTTTTTTGAAATTTATTTATTTATTTTTAGCACCTGTTCTGCAATAACTCCTAACATAAAGCACCTGCATATCGGCTGCTGGGTCTCCATGCTCAGACACCTCATGATGTGGTGCCAGTCGGGAGTTCTCTGGACCCTTTTCCTCACACGCAGTTTAACCCCTCCTTTTCACCGGAGCCGTGACGCAGCCGTCAGCAGCACGTTACTGCAGCAGCACGCCATAGCTGCTGATAGGAACCGCTGTGGTCAACAGAACCTTTTCCACCGGAGCCGTCAGCAGCGCGAGTCGGCCGCGTCTCAGGAGCAGCACGTCGCGGCCCTTACGCGCCGGTTCTATTTTCTATGCGCTACGCCTCTAAAACGGGTCAAGTTTGACATTTTTGGGGAAGGAAAGACAGGAAATCGGACGCTGAAACAGAGCGAAGCTTCCCGAGATTTTCAGAATAAAGGAACATACTGCCTTCCGGTTGCTTTACTTTAAAAAAAAAAGTTATCACCTAGCTAGTGGTCTTCTTTGTTTTTCCATTATGGGTGATGAAATAACTGATAACTGAAGTGGAGAAGTACCCAATCCTGTTTGATGGCGATTATAGAAACCATTTTTTTGTGGGCTGCCTCCATCACAGCAGCGAGCCAGCGACGGTAACAGAAAAGGACAGCAGGAGCAGTTTGAAATGGAAATGTGATCTTCTGCTTGGCTCCACCCCACCTTTGGTGTTTGTGCACAGAATCTCTGGTTTTATTAGTGTGGCCGAATTCAGACATCTGCATGGCTAAAGCACGTTTAGGGTGTAAATGGTGCCCCCCCCCCCCCCGTCCCTCCTGGCTGCAGGTGATGAAGTGTTTGGGGCACTGCTGCTGGGACAGATGGCTCATTGTTGTTCCTCTCGTACTGCCCCTTTAATGACACACTGGGCCGAGCGAGTGTCTCTGCTGTTTTATCACCCTCAGCTGGTGTGAGTTACACAGCCCGGTCTCTTTGTACCTTAATATCTGTTTATAACTGTAAAGTCACCAGATGTAATGATGGAAATTATTAGTTCATTAAAGCTTGGACATATTTATTCATTTAAAAGCTTTTTTAAATGGTACAAAATCAGTTTATGAATGAGTCTAGTTCTAAAGCGGATTAGAAGGTTGTAACTAGAGTTGCAAAGATACCACTTTTTTCCAAACCGATACGATACTTGGATCTGAGTACTCACCGATAGCGATTCCCAATACCGATACTTCCACCACACAAAAAAATGCAATGATTTGGAATACAGATTTTATTTTCTTCTCTGCTTTCAACAGGAAAAGACTGTGAGGTAGATGAAAAGTAAAATATATGAATGGAAATCATAACAAAACTAAAATATTAGGTGAACAGAAATGACAAGTTACAGTGAAGCCATTTTCAAGCAACTGCATTGGTATCGGTACCGATACCAGTATCGTATCGGTGCATCCCCAGTTGTAACGGGACGTTTTGATTTTCACCTGTCAGGTGGATCCGTTTAGAGATGTGCACACCAGGTATGCTGGCAGGTGTAACTACCCGCTGGCGTTGAAAGTAAAATCACAATCTCAGAAACACTGAAGGACTTTTGGGAGGCAGGTGTTGTGTTGAAAATGCATCCCTGGCATTAAAACCAACTTAGTGGAACATGTTACCACAACCTGGTGGTTCTGACGCCGTGTATTTAAACGACTCTTCAAATGTTGGAAAATCACCACCCGTCTCTCATGAATGCAGACCCAGCAGGGTACAGTGGAGGATAGTCTTTAGTGTTTGTTTTCGGCTGAGCTGATGGTGACATCATGGTGTCCTGCTGTAGCTCCAGCGCTGCTGCTGGGACATGTCGGTTAGTTTAGTTTGGGGATTTTACACAACATTTAAAGTTCAAGCTTAAGGTGGAGACTGAGGCACACTCCCGGAGGTTTGACTATTTTGAATGGGAATGATTTAACCTGCGGAGCAGGAACGCTGAGGGAGAAGACGAGTGAAACTAGGAAAGGAAAAGCAGTGAGAAAGTGAGGTTTGGTGTCAGTGAGGGCAGCTGGTGGTGCAGCCTGCAGCGAGACGGGCTGAAATCTGAGCCGTGCACAACCACAGCACTGCACGGGGTGGGGGTGAAATATGCAGGCTTTATGCTGACATAACCATGTGAGAGGCACAGAGAGGGAAGGGAAAATCAGGCCCGTTAAATCACAGGTCTGATGGGAAAATAGGGAAGAGTGTGTTTGGACTGACATCTGATGGCTGCTGGGCTCTTTTACACAAACACGCGACACCTACGTCACTACAGGAGACGACACCCCATGAACACCGGTGGAGGGAGGGAGGGAGATTTCGGACTTTCCCTTCTTTTCCTCTTCAGACTCTGGAAACACTGGGCTCTGATTATTCCTGTCGTAACGCCGTGAAGGAATTGTTTTTTGCTGCTGGAACCATGTCTTGCTCTCATTTTGGTTGCAAACCAGCGTTTTGGAAAAGCGCTTTGTAGGAGAGTTTTTTTTTTACACACTTCTGCAGTTTGGTGCCAAATAGTTCCTGAAAACCTGGCCCAAGGAGCCACGGAGGTGGAACGCACACATGGATAATTGTCCAGTGTTGGAGGAAGCGTGGTGGGATGAAGCTTTTTACTGAAACGGAAAACGACGCTGTGTCGGCGGTTCCACGTCCTTTTGTGTAATCGTCCTAGTCTTTGTTTTTTCGTTTGGCTCGTACCCGACAGACAGACTGCTGCAGTTCCCACCTAATAAAGGAATTATTCATGCTCGTAGCTTATTTTCCTCCCCATCCTGTTATTTTTAGTGGGTTTGGAGGACTTGTTTCCTGTTGCGTGGACCCAGCCTTCGTCTCTTTACTACAACATATCCGAGGGGCAGGAGGAAGAAACATGATCCGATGTTTGGGGCAGCAGCAGTGTGTGGTTTCTGTGGAAAAGGTCTGGGGAATGTGGCGGGGGGGCGCTGCATAAATGTCTTTGGTCCAAGTGAAATCAAAGCCAGCGAGCGTAGCTCTACCGTCTCCACCCTGGAACTCCCTGCTCCGACTCTTCTCATGTGTCGCCACGAGGGATGTCCACACGCCTAAAGGTGAAGGAGCCCAACCCCCGAAGTGCTTCCGATATTTTCCCACTCACGGATCTAATGTGGTGTTGCAGCTGTGGTCGGAGGTGGGGGAGGGAGGAGCTCACCTTCTGCTCAGCTGTTCCGCTTTAAGACAGCTTTGTGTGTGTGTGTGTGTGTGTGTGTGTGTGTGTGTGTGTGTGTGTGTGTGTGTGTGTGTGTGTGTGTGTGTGTGTGTCAGTCATGATTATGTTGAAGCTCCGCTTGTTTTCATCTCTGCTCTAAATGATGATTTTATTCTGTAATAGAACATCCGGTTTTGTTATCAGGGCTTCAAACTATATAATTATTAATCTGTATAACTGAAATATTATATTGGACCACCTTAAATTCTTGCGTTCTTGTTGACAATTATTAAGTTCATGTAACTTAGGAATGTGTTTAAATGTGGCCAAAAAGTTACTTCAACATAAATGAATATTATGTTGGATCAACTTAAATTCTTGCGTAATTGTTGACAATTGTTAAGTTCATGTAACTTAGGAATATGTTTTAATGTAGCCAAAAAGTTACGTCAACATACATCAATATTATGTTGTACCAACTTAAATTCTTGAGTTCTTGTTGACAATTATTAAGTTCATGTAATTTAGGAATGTGCTTTGTAGTCACGAAAAGGCTACTTCACCACACTCAAAAATATTGCGCTGATTTAATGTAATTCTGCCAGAAGTTGGTTTAACTTAAAAATTCTAGTGGAAAACGTTAACATATGTTTTTTTGTTGAACCAATGCTTTATTTTTTAGAGTGTAGAATATAATCTACGGAACCATAGACGTTCCTGCAGAACCGTCCTCCCCAGCAGTGACTCTCAGTAATCCTGGCCTATTTGATCCGGTTCTCATGCGGTTCTGGAAGAGTTCTGATCCAGTTTGCACAGATGCATTTCGGCACAGCTTCTCTGACTGGACCGCTGCAGCACCTTTGTTCTGTTGTAGGTCTGCTGTGTTTGGGGTCGTTGTCCAGTTTTATGAGCCGGTTAGGTCCAAACTAGGGCTGGGCGATATGGCAAAAATAGAATATCACGATTTTTCCAATATTTTATCACGATTTCGATTTTATCACGATTTTTTATCCATGAATAGCATAACTTCAATTGCGTATTAAAGAAGAGAAACATTGAATAAATAAACATTTATTCATATTAGGGATAATCAACACAGTGCTAACACACTTATATTTTAAACTCACACCAGAGATGATAAAAGCCCTGAGAGAAACAATTACAAAAATCTGTTTTTCTCGTTTTTCAAGTAACTTAACATAAATTAAAATCGTAAACATATTTAAAGTGCAAACATGTCAATTGCAAACGTATTGTGCAAACATTAACTTGTTCAAAATACTATGTAGCTCCCAGTTGCTCATGTAGTGGATAGTTAAGCTCAAATACGGCTCTGATGTGCGGCTGGACCAGAGATCGCTTGTGGTAGCAAAAAACTGCGCATTCTGAATATTTTCTGCAACAAGTCTCTAAATAAAGTAAAAATTTCCAGTGCCGAGTGGAGACAACCCATAGAAGCACTGATTTGATCTCATTTCAGAGAAAAATAGAACAGGTTAGATGCACCTAATAAATAAAATTACTAACAAACTCAGGATTCTTTCTTTGCTTCACTGTTCTGGTGCTGAAAATATCACTAATGCAGATCAAAGGAGATACACAGATGAATGCACCTCTTATTATTTGGAGACTACATTTACTGCAGCTGGCAGAGGCAGAGATTTTTTTTATTGATACACGGAGTTTACAGAATCATTTTAAATTGTAATAGGGGAAGACTGCAGGAGGGAGCGGTAAAATACAGGGGGTCCCCAGCAAAGACAAGAAACTTTACGAGTCTGATGAAACCCGCTGGTTTTCCATCAGGCAGTCACGGGGCAGCTCCATCGACCCAGTGACCGAGCTCAGTCCGGTACCGACACGGCTCGGCAGAGGGTGGACGAGCCGAGGCGACGTCGTGCTCTGCTTAAGAAGCGGTGATATTTTCCTGCTTCAGAAGAAGCGTCCAACGTGTTTTTACGCTTTCTCTGAGACATGTCACGTCGCTAAGTTGTTAGCGCCACACGCTAAGGAAACCCTGCGTTCCTCTTCGGAACGAAAACCTCGTTGTCGCTCAGCCGCGGCGAAGCCATGTTTGTTCACACACAAGTGAAAACAAGCGGGGCACTAATATATTACTATGACTCACTCTGATTGGTTAAGGGTCAAACAAAGGCGTGTCATTCGCCTGGGGTAAGTTCCCTTTTCATTCAGAGGCAGAAATGCAACAGCAGAGCTGTGAATCGTGATAAAACGGTCTCTCAAAAATGACAGACCGTCAGATGTGTAGATCGTAAAACGGTCTAAAATCGTCATATCGCCCAGCCCTAGTCCAAACTTCAGATGAGGTTCTGGTGGACCACAGAACTGGCCCAAACCACCAGCCCTCCTCCACCAGCTGACATCAGCTGTTAGATTTTCTCTAGACGTGCTGCTGTGCATTATGGGTAAACGTCCTCTCTTCAGTCTCCTCAGTCTGAAGGACTTGATGCCCAACGTCTCTGCAGTCTTGATTCTCGTGTGGATTAAACTGAAGTAGCAAAGTTAATTTCCTGTTTATGAAGAATTGGTGCGACTTTAGGTGTGATTGGAATCAGTTCCAGTCTGAACACACATTTACCTGTCTGTGTTTTTGGGTCAGGTTTGTTGTTGAATCCTGACATGATCATAAAATCCCGGAGACCATCGCACACAAATGATTTAGCATTTTATATTTTTATAATGTTGATTTATTTATTTATTTCTTTGACAAAACATGGCACTAAAGGGGTTAAATCCCCCCCCCCCCCCCATTTTCTGAACCCGCTTTGTCGGGGGGGGGGGGGGGGGGGGGGGGGGCGACTGGTGCCTATCTCCAGCGGTCAACGGGCAATCAGGCACCCTGGACAGAGAGCCAATCCATCGCAGATCTCAAAAACACTCAATTATTTTACTTTGTTTGGTGAGGACTGAAGCTAAGGAAAGAATCTGTGTTAAAAAATGTTTGACTTTTGAAATGTTATATAATTTTTTATTAAACATTTTGCCAAAATGCATTTTTTTTGTGCGAGGGTACCAAGTGTAGCTTTTTTTTAAAAGGAAACTCCAAAAGGTTAAAAATTAAAGAGATAAATGAAGCGTTGTTGGGTTTGTTAAATATGAATGAAATGTGCTGGCGTCACCAGACAGCCCATTATGGACGTGTCCCTGTAATGGACGCTCCATTAGCAGCAGGTGAGTGGCTGAGAGGTTCTGAGTCTTCTGCTGTCCTCCAGCTGCTGAGCTGATTCCACACACGGGCCTTAAAGTGTCCTTGTCCAAACACTGACTTTAGTTTTAACCACATTCTTTATTTCTACATTTTATTGTCCGATTAAAAGCAGCTCCTCTTGTTTTTGCTGCAAGGATGAAACCTGAAACTGGACTCGATCAGCGCTTGAACTGAAGGGAGCAGATAGTTGAGTTTGTTTTACATTTATGTGTTTTTGTCTTTTCAGAGGTCCCTTCATTTCAAGATCAGACGAAAGCCTTATTTGGAAATCTTATGGACGAAGGTGAGTAGCAGAGCCTCCGGGAGGTGACCCCCTCTTCTCATAACTAGTTATTGTGAATTTATCTGAGCTGCAGGTTCTCGTGCTTATAACTGATGGCTGCTGATTCATGTGAGGGAAGCTAGATTTTCTGTTTTTAAAACCCAAAATAGTTCTGATCATCAGTAAGTTACCAGTATTGATGTAATCCGTCTCATGCGTGACCCAAGTCAGCATGTGGGGAGCGTTCTAACCACAATGATCCTGAGCTATGTGGGAGTATGGAGGTTGGGTTAGGCGAGACCTCCCGCTGAGGGAGGTGTGTCGGTTCTCTGCTTTTATCTTGGCAGTAGGGCTGCAACAAACGATTATTTGGATAATCGATTAATCGGATGGGGTCTCGACACGATTAATCGATTAATCGGATTACATGGGGAAATTTTTAAAAACTGCTAGGGAAACGTTATTTCTCTCCTTCCTTCACTTTATTTAACACAACATTATTAGAAAACAGTTCAATAGCAGAAAAACAACATGCCATCACCTAAATTGTCTTATAAGGTGTATAGACAGAGACCCTAAGCTACATCTATCTGTGACCTAAAATGCTTGGTCCAAGTTAAACAGCTTAAGGGCAATTCTCATCTGTTTTGTTTGATCTCATCTGTTGACATTTATTTTAAATGTAATTAAACATAGGCTGTGAATTTATCAAAATTGATCACTATTTCCAAAAATGACTGAAAAAATACCAAATAAAACAAAAGTAAATGAATGCCATCCTCCTTGCGATGATGCCCTGGGCAACTGCCATAAAGTCACATCAAGAAATGCTGCTGATCATTCCAATGATCCCAAATAGACTCACATTAGGCCACATGAAAGCAACTGAACCCAAAAATATATTAACCAGTATATAACTGCACTCTCACACAACACGCCTGCAGCAACAGTTAGGACTCCTCCCTCCCTTTTAAAAGCATTTTTGCTTCCGAGGACATTGTGGTTGTAAAACCACATGCTAGTAGTCTGGCCCCGGTGTGATCAACCAGTTTCTGCGGGAATGTGACGGCGGAACCAGGGCCAGATTAACACTTTGTTGTACCCTGGGCAACAATATTCTAGGGGTTGCATCATCACGACCGAAAGATCACCATAATGTGGTCACATACAGAATATTTTACTGTAATATGCAGTAAATATACTCAATACTTGAATGCCTGACAACACGTAACCCGCCCAGAGTAACCTTTGACCCACCTCGTGTGGACTGACCAATGAGGAGAGGGTCTTAACTTGAGGCCCTCTCTTCATTGGTCAGTCTGCATGAGACTGACTCTCAACTGACGTTCAGTCGTAGGCAGCGAAGCGTCTCTGTGCAGTGCAAAAGCCCGGGTGGACAGTTTGTTTAATGTAGGGTGACCATATTTCCATTTCCAAACAAGAGGACAGGGGATCTGTGCCTATGACGTCACACTATGGCAACGCCACACAAACCATGTTGGGACCCATTTTTTGTAAGAACTAAATTAATATCAGATTCTGCCAATTAAAGGGCTCTAAAACAATTCATATGTAAATATTTTGCATATTTAATGCAAAATCTAATTTTTCTGCTTTAGTGTTGCAACAAGGTTTTATTAATAATAAATTACTATACCTTTTGTTTTACTACAGCATCGGTAAGCTTCCTGTGCACAGATTATTAAGGATGCTTGTTTCAGCTGTGAGATTAGACGATAGGATCAATGAAAAAATAAGTTGTCACAAACTCCATGGAAACTTTCAGAGAATCCACAAATAGTGGCTTTCAAATGGTTTTGTTACTTTTTGCAAGTTTATAAAATAAGCAGATGAGACAGCATGTCTGATAATTTAGTTTTTCATCTGATAATATTAGAACATGTCAGTAATGTCTGAGGGGCTTTTATAAACACCATATAACTAACACTACTGGAGAGGGCATGAATTACACAGAGGCTTCTGGGGAGCCCAGTTATTGGGGGGGGGGGGGGGGGGGGGGGGCATTTTGCCTTGGCCCCCAAAATGTCTTGAAACGGCCCTGGGTGTGTGACTGAGTTTTGAAGGTGATCTGAATTGTATCAGATGTATAAATATGACATGTGTATAACTTATTGTTTTTTACTGGTAAAAACGTGTAGTGGAGATAAATCTACCTACATTTTACTTTTCAACACTTTGTTTTGTTTTCTTGTTTTTATTGAACTATTTTCCTGTCCTGTCTGTCTCTCATCTTCCTGCATCTCCTCTTAATTCTCCAGAAAATCTGTTGCCTGGATTCTTACCTTTTCACCTCATCAGTTACTTTTGAGCAGATCAAAGGGATCTCCTGACCGAAAAGCGGAGAGCGCGTTTTCGATGCTGCGTGAGGTGAAATCACCACAGCACAGGTGATGAGCTCCGCAGTAGCGCGCTTCAGGCACAAATAAGACAGAAAATAGAGAACATGTGCGGACATGAACGATCGTGTGCTAATTATAGTTTTTTGGTTGCGCCACTTTGAGAATGGACCATGCGCTGGAAGAAGCTGCCTGGATCGCTGTGCAACAATGCGGAACCGGTTCGCAGCAGCTCAAGTCTGCCGGCTCTCCCTCGCGCTGATCTGCCTGTACCGGCTCTCCCTCGCGCTGATCTGCGGCTCTCCCTCGCGCTGATCTGCCGGCTCTCCCTCGCGCTGATCTGCGGCTCTCCCTCGCGCTGATCTGCGGCTCTCCCTCGCGCTGATCTGCGGCTCTCCCTCGCGCTGATCTGCCGGCTCTCCCTCGCGCTGATCTGCGGCTCTCCCTCGCGCTGATCTGCGGCTCTCCCTCGCGCTGATCTGACTTGCTCTGGTCTGCGCGCAACGGCGGGCGGGAAGGGGGGGCGCTTTTGGAAGAGTTGTGCGACACAACGAATCGATGACGCAATTCGTTGCCAACGCTTTTAGTAATCGATTTTCATCGAATTTATCGATTCGTTGTTGCAGCCCTACTTGGCAGCATCGACTCCTCGGCACAACATGTGCCAGTGCCGTTTATTAGCGTGTAGCAGCTCGCTGCAGCCGTGTGTGCTGCCAGCTGTCGATTACAGCCGCTGTTTGAGGAGGTCAAGTCTCAAAATCCTGCAAAAAGATCTTTTCTGTCTGAAGAATGTGTTTTCTGTGTTTGTGTTGGTGGTCTGTCCGCCCACGATGCTTCTTTTAAAGCTTTGTTAGTTCAGGTCTGATATTCTTGTGTCAGACTTAAATCACAACCGTAAGTAAATCTAAATTATCTCACCAAACCGAAACCAAAAGCAGGAAGTGTGGTTCTGTCTGTCAGACGGATGAACTGATGGTCGGTAATCTGGGTTGTCGTTGTTTATGATGGTTAAAGGAGGGTTCTGGAGCCGGCCGTGACTCGGGCTTTGGCTGAGCTGAATGTTCTGAGCTAATTTAGTCCCGCTGCTGCTAGCATGCTAGTCAGCTAAGAGGTTCTAAGAATAGCTGCGTCTCAGTCACAGCTAGTGTTTGGAGTCAGGCGGAGGAATGGCGTCACGAGAGCCCCGCCTTTACCTCTGCAGCTGGTGTGAGCGTGCATGTCTACGTGCACGTGCTGTATATTTGCCTTATTTTTACCCGCTTGATCCGGTTCACTGTCACGAGGGAGTTGGCGTCCATCTCCTGCACTCATTGGGCGGAGTTACACCTGGATAGGTCACATGTTCATTAATGTGTCAAATACATGCTAACAAGGCAGGCGACCAATCCCACTCACACCTACAGATTAAGCTAACGTGCACATTTTTGGTCTAAAGCAGGAACAGAGCATGCAGATATCTTGCAGTCGGGCGTTGAACCCGCAACCTTCTGACTGAGGCAACAGGTGTAAAACCAGCCTCACCACTTCAGCTGGGAGTGATCTGAACTGGGATGTTTGAAGAAACTCTGAAATAGGATTTCTACTCATTTTTGTTGTAAACGAACACCCAGATTTAAAATCGGAGAGGTCTTTGGCCACGTCAGCTAGCTGCTAGCTGTGCTGGACTGGAAAACTTCAGAAGTCTGAATTTTTCTTCCGGCGCTGCTGAGCAGTGTTGGTTCTGTTCCCTCCTGTTTGGCCCGGTCCGTTATTAGAACCAGGAAAAGCAGGAACCTGCATTCCACCATAGCTCAAGCATCCGAGGAGAAAACATCGTTGTTTTTCCTCATTTCCTCCCAGCTGCTGCTGATTCTCTCTCTCTCTCTCCATTTCCTGGTCCCGGTCCATTTAAAACCTTTCAGCGTCTCCTCACAGAACCGCTTCGACCACAAACTCGATTCCATGGCAGTCGCTCTGCACACCACATCTGAGTTCACTTTGCTGCCTGTTTACCTGGAAACGGGCAGCAAAGTGAACTCAGATGTGTTGTTGGGAACGAGGATCCGGCTGAGTCGACGTGTTGGTGAGCGCTAATCCTTCCGACATTTATCCCGACCCTCGTGTTTTTTTTTGTACCTGACAGAATCGGTCATTTAGTTTTAATCAGTGTTTACTTCCTGTTGTGGGCGTGGTTTAGGACACACTGGTGTGTGTGACAACTTTGGGACTCTAACTTACCTGCTCAGATGTGCTCACCTGTAAATCACCTTATCTGCATTAACAGAGTCAAACATTTGAATTTGAAGCTAACTAAACACACATCGCTGTATAAATGTAGAAAAGCAGTCTGTCCTTTAAAGTTTAACCATTAAAATGGAATAAAACCATTAAGATCTTTAAACTGGCAGCAGTTGCAACATGAACGAGTTGTTCTTGTTCCCTTAAATCTAAACATCTGATCTATTTTTTATTTATTTAGTCAGGATCCTCATTAGTTACGTGGTAACGAGCATTCTTCCTTCCATAAACATTACATTTACAACAATAAAACATAAGTCATTAGAACAATCATAGAAACGTTAGATTACAGGTTTGTGAACTGAATCCATGCTTTCGTTCTTTTTTAAACACAGAAACAGTTTTGTTTACCTGTTTGTAGCTACGGTTTTCGCCGACAGCTGCCGGCTTCTTCAGGCTGACGCTGATGGTGGCGCGTCACAAAGATTTACAAAGACACAGCAAGAACACACCTAAGATTGTGAACTGAATCATGTGCTGTGTCAGCTAATGCATAATTGACATTTGAAATTAAATAGATTTTCTTCTGAAAAATGTCCAATCTTTATGTATCTTAAATATAAAGGCAGTTTATTCCACCAACATGGCTCGGTGTATCACTGATTTCTGTAATATTTTTGTTTTGGTTGAGGTGGTGCGTAGTTAAACATGAACGTCTCTTTCGATTCTTGTCTTTTACACGACAACAGCGACAGACTTGAGCGGGGCTCGAACCCACAACCTTCCGATTACAGGACGAGCACTTAACTCGTGTGCCACCGTTGCCCAATTTTAGCTTCTTTCTGTCCCTCCAGCATCAGTACTTCCACATTTTAATTGTTTGAGTTTTTGTTTAAAGAGCAAGTCACCCCCAAATCAACTTTTTTTTGCTGATAAACTATATAAATGTGTGTTTAATTGTGCTGCAGAAACGTGTAGTCAATAATTTGGTACTTCAGTGCATCTTAGTTGAACTTTAAATATTCTGCCTAAAACTGTGTGTGTGTGTTGTGCCGTGATCAGGTAAAAACTCTGCACTGCATTTTAATTTAAATCTGCCATCGCTATTGGCTAAGAGGTATGCTATGATGTAAACTGGTACATTATGATGTCACAATGCTGTCGTGAGCCTGTGTGTGTGTGTATTTGTTAGCAGCTCTGCCTTCTCAGTCTGCTAGGCAACAGCATTTGTTGCATTTTTCAAACATGAAGTGGGAGTGGAGTTAGACTCTGGTAGGGGTTGACTTGCTCTTTAAATAGAAGTGTAAAGGTGTTTATCGCTGTAACTCCACTCTTGTGTCTTTTATCAGAAATGAGTCGCCAGACCGCCACCGCGCTGCCCACAGGAACTTCTAAGTGCCCTCCCTCTCAGCGCGTGCCCACCCTGTCGGGCACCACGGCCTCCAACAGTGACCTGGCCAGCCTGTTCGAGTGTCCGGTCTGCTTTGACTATGTCCTGCCCCCCATCCTGCAGTGCCAGTCGGGACACCTGGTACGTATCGCCCCCATCAACCAAACCCCACAGAGCACCGACGTTCCTGGGTCATGTAGCCCTGTGACCCGGCCCAGATGAGACCAGAACCAAACCACAGAAAGTTAAAATGGCTTATTTTTTTAACCAAGATCTGATGGTTTGGTTAGAATCAGCTGCGATATGGCAAGCTGTTATGTCATATGTTTGAAGATTTTTCTTTAAAAATATCTGTTAAAACTCAATTTTTTCCAAATGTACCAAAGGATGCCTCAGCATTATTAATTAGTACTCTCATCGGGATGAACTCACACTTGGTCTGGATGTTTTAACTTTAACCCATCCAGTCATTCGTGGTGGTGCGCACACACACTCTTTTTTTTAGTGTAACTACTGAGCTCATATTTCGTCTCAGGTGTGCTCCAACTGCCGGCCCAAGCTCACCTGCTGCCCCACCTGCAGAGGCCCCCTGGGCTCCATCAGGAACCTGGCCATGGAGAAGGTAGCCAACTCGGTGCTCTTCCCCTGTAAGTACGCCTCATCAGGCTGTGAAGTCACTCTGCCTCACACCGACAAGACCGAGCACGAGGAGCTGTGCGAGTTCCGACCATATTCCTGCCCGTGTCCCGGAGCCTCCTGCAAGTGGCAGGGATCCCTGGATGCAGTCATGCCACACCTGATGCACCAGCACAAGTCCATCACCACACTGCAGGTCAGAGGTCACGCTTGGTGCTTTGAGCTCGTTTCCTGGTGGATTTTATTACTGAAGTCAAATCTCAAGATTTTACAAATAAATTTTACTTTTCAGGACCAAATTTTTCAGTCTTTTGTTCTAACGGCTGTAGTGATTTGTAGCAGTGCCCTCTGCTGGACACGGGTCACACTAACCCTAGAGTCACACAGTAATGAGTCTTAGGGTTCTGCTTCTGCCTGCTCACCCTCTGACCTGTGTGTGCATCAGGGTGAGGACATCGTGTTCCTGGCGACAGACATCAACCTGCCCGGCGCCGTGGACTGGGTCATGATGCAGTCCTGCTTCGGGTTCCACTTTATGCTGGTGCTGGAGAAGCAGGAGAAGTATGACGGCCACCAGCAGTTCTTCGCCATCGTGCAGCTCATCGGGACTCGCAAGCAGGCAGAAAACTTCGCATACCGGCTGGAGCTCAACGGTCACCGGCGCCGGCTCACCTGGGAGGCGACTCCACGCTCCATCCACGAGGGCATCGCCACGGCAATCATGAACAGCGACTGCTTGGTGTTTGACACATCGATCGCACAGCTGTTTGCCGAGAATGGCAACCTGGGCATCAACGTCACCATCTCCATGTGCTGAGGACTCCCAGGTGACGAGCATCAGATTGTAAAGGAGGGTGGGGGGTGCATTTTTTTAGGGGTCACGTCAGTGCTGACCTCACAGCCCCACCCCTCCCCTCTGTGACATGGATCTGGACTGTGATTGGGCTGCAGTGAGGGCCCAGGCTGTTATGTATGGATGAGTGAAGCGCATTAGGACATACCTGTGTAGTGAAGACTTGTCAGACTCACCTGTGATTGGCTGGATTGTTTAGTTCTAGTCCCGTTTTGTTTCTCCTCATCCTGAAGGTCATGTCAAGGACAATACAACATGGACTCCTGGTCAGTGCTAACAAGCTAGCTTGCCAGCTAGCTTCTTTTCAAAAATCCAAATGTAGACGAACGGAGATCTGAGTGGCTGCTATCAACTCACTCATCCATAAAACCTCTTCCCAAACGCTCGTTTCACCTGTGACTGATAACGATTTAGACGTTGGACCGGACGGCTGCAGCACCAGAACCCTGGATCTGTACTAAGTGTTCATAAAACAGGCTCACCTGGTCTGACCCGGCCAGCTCAAAGGTCAAACTGGGACAGCCGTAGTTGATAGTTAATCGACTCCGAACGGGAAGCTCTGAGCCGGATCTTTACCTGCTCTATTTTTTGGACTAGCTGTAGTGTGCCGTCACACACGACAACACACCTGTCCTCTGCACCACACACACTGAGCAGGTGAGACCTGACCGAGGAACAGAAGTTTTTCAGAACTAGGAAGAGATTAAAAAACACTACATTTCACTTTAGTTTGGAGGTTTTATTTCATGCGTCTGTTTCTAAACTGTTTTAGTTGTTTTTGTATGAAAGGAGCATGAAAAAGATGGATCTGTGGTTCAGACCTGCTAGACTGTCGTTTCTCCTCCATCTGAACGCCCAACCTGGATTAGAGACAGTTCCTCTGTTCAAATGTTTATTATTACTGAATAGAGATATAAAGATCATTTTTGTATCGACTTTTAAAAACTAAAAAGCAGTTGTAAAATATGTGGCTAAAGTTCGGTGATTGTCGTTTTTGTTCTCCTGAAGGTTGATTTTTTTCTCCCAGAGTTGGGCTTTCATCTCTGTCCTCCTGTGGTCCGTCTCTCTGTCCTTCCTGTTTGTCTGCGGAGGGAAAAGTCAGTCATCTCTCTGTCCTCACGTGGAGTTCCAGTAATGCTGCTCTCCTTCAAGCTCATGACTTCTGTTTCGTTTGTCATTAAATAAATCTATCTTTTTCATACGTCCAGTTCTTCACTCGACTCCACACGGAACGTTTCTGAAACCGCCCCATCCTTCTAACGGGTCGTTGGGTCCTAGATTCCAGGAAAAATGGATCTAAAACTCCCACTCACTCTGACATTCCCGCTGCACTTTAACAAGGATAATGGTGATTTGGACTACGAAAAAGTTAAAACTCATCTTCAGCATTTCTTTAAACATTTTCTGGACATAATGGCTCTAACACTGCCCCCCAGTGGTTGACTCTCGCATATCAGCTCTACATTAAATCAGTTTGTTAATCTAGTTTAATCTGAACAAATCATTACATCAACACTTGAGCAATTTTATCATTAATGAAAAAAAATCTGGTTTAGTATCTTTAAATTTACCTCCTGCTTTGATTAGAAATCAGACATTTTTAAATATTGAAGGTTAAAAGGTCAGATTTTGTTTTTGTCACAAAAATAGTTTAAAATGTTTTCTCTGAATCAATCCGTTTACAAACTAAATGAAGTCCGTGTCACTGAAAAGTCCTCCAGCCGGTTCTGTTAAATCTGACGTTAACTTACATCATTTCCTGCAGACTTTAAATCAGGATCAGGGATTTGAGTTGGCAGGTTTCCGTCACAGTTTGCTGCTGAGCTCAGGGAGTGACTCGGCGCTCGCCGTTCCTGGAAATCCGCCGTCGAAGGACGCGTTCAGCACCTCTTTCAGGCTTCTGGCCATAACGAAGTCTAGGTCAGCTCGGACGTTTGCCGGAAGCTCCTCCAAGTCCTTCTCGTTGCGTTTCGGGAGGATGACCCGCTTCACTCCGGCTCTGTGCGCTGCTAGGACCTTATCTTTGATCCCGCCCACCTGCAACGGACAGATCCAGTCAGGTTTAATGAACAGAACCAGGATGTTAACGTTTGTTTATAAATAGTTATCATCAACTCCATAACTAAAAACCCGGTTCTATGTTTACGCTGAAAGTGGTTCTTTTGTGTACGGATACGGTTTTAACGACTAAACTGTGTAAAATAAACCGGTTTTTAAGTATTTTGTGTTGAAACTCAAACAGGTCACTCGTGTGCCAAGTCTAGTTTTTGCATCGTCGTGGTTGCTAGGCGACAGGGACAAGGTAAGGGCAGGAATAAATCTGAAGGCTAGACTGTCGACACGAGTCTGGACCGGGAAAGGCTGGGTTACAATTACACATTTGTCCTGTACCATTGGACCCCTGGCCTCAGAGTCGGAACGCCATCACCGGCAAAGTGTTTCTAACAACGAGGGATTCTGGTTTGTAAATTTTACATTGAAACAGTTTGATATGACGTGTTGTTATTCGGCTCCTTGGATCGCTTTGACCCAGAATATTCAGTCCGACCAGCGCGGAGGTGTGTTTCCTGAACCCACCGGCAGAACCAGCCCTCTCAGCGTGATCTCTCCGGTCATGGCCACGTCTGATCTGACCAGCCGGCCGCTGAAGAGAGAGGCCAGGCAAGTTACTATGGTAACGCCGGCAGAGGGGCCATCCTTGGTGACGGCTCCAGCAGGGAAATGAAGGTGAATGTCAGTTCCTTCCATTGGATCGGAACTGCCCGCTACTGTTAACACAAACACACACACGGTCAGAGTTGTGGTCCCCCCCCCCCCCCCCCCCGCAGCAGCTCGTTTACACGAGGACTCACTGTTGGTGAGTCGGTAGGTTTTAGCATTGGCTCGGAGCCAGCTGATGGCCAGGTGAGCGGACTCCTTCATAACGTCTCCGAGCTGACCCGTCAGAGTCAGCTGACCTTCTCCCTCCATCCGACTGGCCTCCACGAACATGATCTCCCCACCGAGCGGTGTCCAGGCCAGACCCAGGGCCACACCGGGGAGGGTGAGGCGCTCCGACACCTGCAGGTACACACAAACACCTGCATGAATCGGATGTTGGGAAGACTCCACCATCCTGGCGTTGGACTCACCTCCGTTTCAAACGGCGGCGGTCCCAGAATGTCCTTCAAGGCGACATGGTCGATGACGATGGGCATCTCAGGGGGGGCGGCTTTATTTGGGAAACAAACATTCATAGTCTTTAAACCCTAAACGAGTCCGATTATTTAAGAATGATCAACAGAGACGAGGAAATAAACAATTACAGAAACGAACGAGGTGAACACAAAGGCAGCAGATTAAGGACTTTCAGCCACATAAAAAAATAATACATCAACTGTTAATAGCTTTACTTCTCCTCCAGACTATGAATCATCCTCCAGAAGGACCATTAGTGGTGGTTTTACTTAAAAACCAGCCACTAAATCTGATTTAGTGAAAGCTTGGCAGAACTGAACGTCGTAATTCTGTCAGTAATAAAACAAGTTTCAGCTGTTTTACATAAAACGGCTCTGAAATCAGACGGTTTTAATATGACTAAATAAATTATTCATTACCCAGAAAAGGATGCTTGAGTGAAAAAAAAGAATCAGAATGTCTGCAAAGTGTGATTGTTATTTAAGTGTTTCACCACGCAGACGCAGCAGATTTGACCTCTGACCTTCCTGCAGCAACTCGTTCTCAGAGCTCACAGCCTCTGGGAGTCTCCGACCTTCAGCGACCTTCACAGCGACTGCTCGGCAGATCGCTCCGATCTTCCTCTCTAGCGAACGGACGCCGGCCTCTCGTGTGTATCTGCAGCAGAACCCGGGTCAGAATTAACACACACACACACACACACACACACACACACACACACACACACACACACACACACACACACACACACACACACACACACACACACACCCTAATATTTCAGTTGCTTCTGAACCAGAACGTGTGTTTTGTACTTTTCTGCGACCTTTCACCCTTCCGTTTAAGCGTACTCAGCTAAGTAATGGGCCATTCCCATCTGTACCGGGTCGGCCCGGGCCGGGTCGCCCCAGTCTGGCCCGGTTGATTCCACACATCCTTGCCTTAAGCCCATGTGGGCTGATTCTACCCACCAATCAGAGGCTTGCTCTAATGGAAGGTGTGAATTTGCTGTCAGCAGTGGGCGTGTTGGCCCTGGTCGGTCTGAAGCAGACCCCCTCGAGAAGAGGGCTGAGAATGAGCCTTGGTTGGCCCGGACAAATACCAGGCCACCCAGATATGTAAACAACCTACGCTACCCGGCCCAGGCCGACCCGGTACAGATGGGAATGGCCCATATGAGGAGTGCAGGTTAAAGGGTTCAACCAGACTAATCCAGACCGATGGTGATGACATCATCAGCGTTTCTGTGCCCAGATGCTGGTGGAACATACGAAAAACTGAGAAGCTTTGAATGAAAAGGCTGAAATCATTCATCGTGTGTGTGTGTATGACGTGGTCCGTGCTCTCCTTTGGACCGGTTCCTCAGAACCCAAACACAGTCAGAACGACACAAGGAGACATTCAGAAACATGGAAACAAATTTCCCTCCAAGTGTTTCTGTGAGAATAAAGAAACACGAGCAGGTCATTACAAACTAGAACTAGAACAGACGCCTGATTGGGTCAGACGGGGTCACCTGTCTCAGTCCAAGACACATTGATGAGTGTGTGTGTGTGTGTGTGTGTGTGTGTGTGTGTGTGTCCCAGTGAGGTAGGATACGTGTTTTTGTGTATTTGAGCCCTTCGGTGGTCCGGTTTTCCTTCACACACCTGCAGATGATATCCCTGCTGGAGTCCTGAGGAATGTGCAGCTGCTGAGGAGTTAATCCGTGCTGCTCCAGCTGATTTGGGATCAGGTGACGGTGAGCGATCTCCACTTTCTCCTCCTGCGTGTATCCTGAAAGATCGGTGGTCCTGGATTAGAACCAGAGGTGAAGGACTCAAAACAGAACCACTGGTTGTGCTGGATACTTCCTCACCTGGAACCTGCAAAACCTCCATCCTGTCCAGCAGCGCCGGGGGGATGGTGGCCGTGGTGTTGGCGGTGGCGATGAAGAGCACCTGGGAGAGGTCAAAGGCCACGTTGAGGTAATGATCCGTGAAGCTGTGGTTCTGCTCCGGATCCAGAACCTGCAAGAGTAGAAAGCAGGATGACCCAGTTGGATCTCCAACATATGGAGGTTTGTCTAACAGAGGTCAGAGGTCAGACCTCCAGCAGAGCAGCAGCCGGGTCTCCCTGAAGACTCTTCCCGAGTTTGTCCACTTCGTCCAGGAGGAAGACGGGATTGTTGACACCCACCATCTTCAGACCGTTGATGATCCGGCCGGGCATGCTACCCACATACGTACGCCTGCAGACCAGAACCACACATCATCAGGACACTGCTGACATCACTTCCTGCTTCCTGTTCTTTAAGCAACGCTAATGTGAATCTAAATGAAACCGGAGCCGGTTTAGTTCGGTTCTGATCCACCATCAGCTGTTTGTGCTGCAGTGCATTGTGGGTAAACGTTCTTGTGGAGTGTTGATGAAGCTTCACCGATCTGAGCTGCCAGGTTCTTCTCTAGAGGCTGTCCTCCAGTCTGTCCAAATATGACCTTTGACCTTTATCCTGCTGATCGAGACTCCTCCAGTTCAGTTTGTCTGAGCATGGAGGACATCTGCTGGACAGATGGAGGACAGGTGGACACCTGCTGAATCTGATCCAGAGACAAATTTACAGAGAAATCCGTCAGCTGACCTTTGACCTCCTCCAGCATCAGCGGTTTGTGTTTGTAAATATGACACAACGAGAAGTCAGCCATCTTGGGCTCTGACCGTCTTCATCTTCCTGTCCTCCATCCGTCCAGCAGGTGATTTTGTCCCAGGTCCACGTCCATCACACACCAGCTGTATTTCTGCAGAATTTAAAAGAGGCTAACGACTCATCAGGGGATGGAGAGGAGGGGCACCCCGAGTAGTTTCTGCTCTTTTAAACCCTAACCCTAACAGACAGCTACAGCTGATAAGCTCGACTCCCATATTCCAGTCAGAATTGACGAAAAGCGAAACGTCTTCAAGAAACCAAAGATGTTCAGTTGCCTTTGGGTTACCATGACCTGGATGACTGAGAACCTGCACCAGCACTCTGCAGAATTTCACATCATGAATGTTCGGAGCATACCGGTGTCCTCTGATGTCTGACTGGTCGCACACGCCTCCCAGAGCGATGCGGTGGAACTCCCTGCCCAGCATCCGCGCGATGGAGCGACCCACGCTCGTCTTCCCGACTCCAGGGGGACCAACGAAGCATAGGATGGGACCCTGAAACACGACGTTTACAGGTCAGAACAGCAGAACTTCACCGGTTCTGAAACCACCTGAGCCAGAACCAGCAGAGCTGAAGGCATCTGTCCCAGGTCTCTCATGTGCTGTGATTGGATGATGCATGTCAGTCACATGACAATCATTCAGTAATAAACACAGCCCAAAAAAAAAAAAAAAAAAATCACCTTGAGGGTCGTTTTCAGCTGCCTGACGGCGAGGTACTCGAGGACACGCCTCTTCAGCTTGTCCATGGCGTAGTGGTCGTTGTCCAGCAGCGTCCGAGCAGAACGGATGTCCAGACAGTCTGAGGGCGAACGACAGCGACGGGGAAGAGAAAGGACTGACATTAAAGGATTTGAGAGGATGGACGAGTCTGAAGTAAACCGTGACTTGATCAGAGTCAGCATCAGGTCACACGCCGCTGAATGAATGAGCAGCGCCATCACAGAATATTAATCTGATCTTCTGGACGTTTGTTTTTCTAAAAACACAAAAAAACTGTTGATCCAAGATCAATGCTTTGTTCTGTGGCTCCTGAATGCACCATTTTCAAGCCACAATCAGAAAAATGCTAATGCCAGTCCGTGAACTCACCACGGCTAAGCGCTAAAGCCGGGCGTACACTGTGAGACTTTTTCACTTTTTTGAGCCGATTTTCCACTCGTGCGAGAATCCACGAGATCGGGGCGAGTTTTGCGCCGAGCGTGGTGTAGTGTACAGGGGGTTACGAGAGGCGATTAACACCACGTGACCAGCTACCGATCAGCAATCGTGAGCTCGCACGGACTTCTGGCGTGTCTAATATTTTGCTCGTTCCTCGTGAGGGTATCACACTGTTGAAGCGGCGCTGCGAGCAGCTGCGACCCAAAAAGTATCAGAACCGCTCACGGCGCATGCGCAATCCTGCATCAACACCACTCGCCTGCGATTTCCCTAATAACACACGTTGTTCGTTTTTATTTCTACACGTATTTTTTACTCACAAGGATTGTCAAGAAAGCGTGTTTGTCGTGTTCATGTCAAATTAAACTGATCACAAAACACAGATTTACTTTCTTTATTTCGTTTTCCTCATCCAACCCCCATAAATCCCTGTGTGTCCTCCTGCAGCACTCCCGAAGGACAACAGGCAGGACAAAAAAGTCTGACGTGTTGAGTAAAAACTGCTATATTTAGCAACTGCTATATTTTCCGACGTGTTGCTACGTGTGTACAGTGTGAGCACATGGCTCGTGAGATCTGCCCTGCGAGGAAGTCGTACAGTTTGAGCTGAAGCTGAGTGCTACGAGTGAAAAAGTCGCACAGTGTCCGCCCAGCTTCAGTCACACCAGCAGCAGCAGAGTTTACATCCAGGGTCAGAAAACTCACCCGGATCGTCTCCATGGTTACCTTTAGTGTTCCGGTTCCAGGGCAGCTCCACCATCAGGTCCAGGTAGTTTCTGGTCAGGGCGAACTCGGGCATGGACTGAGGCATCTTCTTCAGCCTGAGAGAGATGAACAGCAACAGGATTAATCACAGAAGCTCCCGTGTGTGTGTGTGTGCGTGTGTGTGTGTGTGCGTGCATGTGCGTGTGTGTGTAGAAAGCACGCTGATGGAGAACAGATGAATCTGCAGCTAAAAACAAAACTAAATACATAAAGTTTCCTGATCAAAAACCATTTTCATCAGTCTGTTCCAACCGTCTGGTTAATTATTAATCATTTCTGTTACTCCCCAAATGTGAGTTTAAATACATTTTCAGTCGTTTTTCAGCATCTGGTTCAGATCTTCCAGGTTTCCTGAAAAGATTCTTTATGATGATTAAACACAGAAGCAGCTCATCTGGAGCCTTTAGATTCTGATTTGTGGGGAAATTAAAGCAAACTAATAATCAGTCTGCTGCTTCGGTCATTTTCCAGAATCTGGGAATATTAAAGGGATGGATTTTAAGGAAACCATTCCTTTAATCTGCAGATGTATTTGGGCGTAGAGCTAAAAATAAACAAAACCCTTAAAACACACTTAATGAAATAAATAAATACATTTTTATTTATTTCCTGATCTTTTTGTTTCTCTGAAACCATCAGTTTCTCATCTGAGGAAGAAGATCAGGGAAAATCCGTGTATAATTCCTTCTATTTTTGATTGAAAACAAAAAACATTCAAAAAAGGAAAAATAGATTTGTTTGTTTGTTTGTTTTCAAAAACAGTTTTTCAATAAAAGTTGTGTTTTTTTCTCGGATCAAATATAAGAAATGGAAAAACATCCGCTGGACCGAGTTTGATTTTAATGTTTCATTTCTCGGGTTCGTGAGGACAGGTGGTGGTTGAAGCTTATGGAGTTCACACGGACGTGATGATCTCGTCTGGAAAGTCCCTGCTTTGGTTTCTTTAAGACATTTTGCTTCTCATCCGAGGACCACCATTTTCTGCTGGACCGTCTTCAGTCTTGGGTTGGGGTAAAAGGTGTTGCACTTGAATGGTTTCGCTCCTATTTATCAGACAGATCTACTTCTGTTCAGATTGGCGACTGTTCCTCCTCCTCTCTCCCTCTGCCTTGGGGTGTACCGCAGGGCTCTGTTCTGGGGCCTCTTCTTTTCTCTATATATCTCCTACCACTGGGCAAAACCCTAAATCGGCACAGTCTTAATTATCACATCTATGCTGACGATCGTCAAATATACGTGGCACTAAAAAATGGAAATGTGGACTCTCGTCTTGCGGCATGCCTGGCAGACGTAAAGGGCTGGCTGGCGGCCAATTTCATCAGGTTGAATGATTTAAAGACTGAGTCCATTGTGAACGTGCGTTTGTCCATGCTGCCCTCATGCTCTGGAACTCACTACCCATTACAGTTAGGCTGGCATCCTCTCTGCCCGTTTTTAAATCTCGTTTAAAAACCTACTTTTATGACGTGGCTTTTAGACAGTGATTCATGTTTTCGTATTATGATTTCATAGTTTTATTGTTGTGTTTTATCTTCTTATTGTGTTTTCTTTTTTGTTTTAATTGATCCTGCCTGTTCAGCACTTTGGTCGGCTCTCACGCCGTGTCTTGAACTGTGCTATAGAAATAAAGTTGGTATGGTATGGAGAATTGACTCGGATGAGATGCGAAACGTCTTCAAGAAACCAGAGTCCAGCTGCCTTCACCTGAACCCTTTCGGATTAATTAAAAATTAAAAAAAAAACCATTTTCCGTCTTTGATTTTTTTGTTTTCAATCGAAAATAGAAGAACGAACGACACACGGAACGGAGAACACCATTTTAGTGTGTTTATGACTTTTTAAACTGTAGAAATCCTTTTGTCCGCGAACGCAGCACGCTCGGATGTTTGGAACGCATTTGTCATTTCGTTTAAACCAAAATCCTTCCCGTTTGTTTGCTGTTTTGTGTTTTATTGACTTTTATAAACATTTTATTGATCAACAGAAGCTCAGGCTGGAACTTCAGACTCATTCCAGAGGAACGTTTACCTTTTCAGTTCCTTCAGACAAACTCGGAGTGCCGCCTCAGGCATGCTTGCGCCGTGAATCTTCCTCTCCAAGGCTGCCATGTCATCCCCATCCTCATCCTCATCCTCCCCATCCAGGTTGAACTGCCGTCCTGGGAACACGCCGCCCTTCCGCACTGACAGGACCTGAAGGCATCACAAAAGCGGGTTTGCGTAAACATGCCGACGCGTGAGCTGGTTGAGCGCCTGAAGGCGTTACCCGCTTCTCTTTATCAGGACTCGTTTTCCGGCTTCTCTGCAGCAGCTTCAGTCCCTCGATCTGCCGGGTCAACATGGGAAGCGCCTTCTGGAAGCGCTCCTCCAGACTGATGGCGTCCAACACCTTCATTGCAAACAAACTCTCAGAGCGGATCGTCTTCTGGCTACGAACAAACTGGACGTTAACTCACCTGGAGTTTCTCCTGGTTGGAGGTGCGGATCATGGAGGCAACGACATCCGGCAGCGTTTCCCTCGGCAGGCTGTCCAGCAGGCGTCGGAACTTGGCCACCACCGGGACCGACATGTCCAACATTCCTAATAACTACAAAAACAGTTGGATAGGACTCCTTTCTCTTTTCCCATCAGGATGTTTTGTAAAGACGGATCACAGGAATGTTGAATGAATCTTGCTATCCCGACACCTTTAGACAGGGGAATACACAGAAACCACAGGGAATTCTACAAGCTCTGACATCCAAGACTGGTTTATCACACATTAATGCGGAGAAATGAGGGTGGGGACACGGCCTTGGACTGGGAGACTGAATTCCACTCAGACCCGTTTGAACTCTGAACCCGCCTCACACGTTTACGTCATCTGGATGTGGGACGAAACCGGACAGATGGCAAAAGTAAAGGTATCAGTGCCATTTTTAAGAAGCAGGGACAGATCCATCAGAACCAGAACCTTCAGCTGATCATTTCAGGTAAATCACCTGCAGGCTGGTACCGAACAGCCCAAAGACCCAGTTTTAGACTGGTTCTGTTCTGTTTGAACGACTCAGAACTGGATCTATTTTCAGCATCTCAGTCAGTTCCTTCAGAAAGCCTCGCTATAATCTGGCTCGTTACGGGATTATGAGACCAAGGTGTCCCGTTCCCCATCATTCTGATAAACTTTGACATTTCCAACCCCATTTTTCCAGAAACGTGGCTCTGAGGGAGTCAAAGCACGGATGTAGAAGCGGAGTCGGACAGCACGCCTCATGATTTAGTGAACTGCACATCTGTAAGATGTAGCTCTTTGCACTTGAACATTCTCCAGCAGCACATTTAAATCATTCTGAGGGAAACCGTGTGCCCCAGAATCCAATCATCTCTCCACATGTGTGTGTTGTCATGTAAACATCTGTGAGGACAGCCATCCGAACAGGATTCATGGTGCAAAGCGGTGAAAACACAAGAGGAGCAAAACAGAAACGGCTGCAGGAGATGAAGCTCTATTGTAGCAGGTCCGTGTCGCATCAGGACCGACTCCCATCCAACAACTCACGACTAAACCAGAACTTTTCTGGTTAACGTGAAGCCAGGAGCTGATTTTAACTTGTTTTTTTAACCTGTCCTGTCCTGGCAGTCAGGCATGGACTGGCCTTCTGATGCACCGGGCAATGCCCGGTGGGCCGTCGCTCTTTTGTGGGCCGGTGCTCTGAGGAAAAATAAATTTAAAACTATCTTTTAAAAAAGCACATGTTAAATATTATGCAACCAGCCATCCTCGCCCCGCCCCGCCCCGCCCCTCATTTCAGATTAGGTCATTTGGGCAGAGCGTCGCGAGTCAAAAATGGACAAACCAAAAAAGCCCTGGGGGGTGGGGGGGTGCAGAAAAGCAGCGAGAGAAAAGGAAAAAAACTCCACCAAGCGGATTCAACAGAATGTGCCAAGCTCACAGATGTTTTTGCCGTTGCATCTATAAGTTCGTCAGCGGCAGCAGTTGCACCTGGGCCAGAGGAAGGAGGAAGATCGGAGGGAGACTCGTCAGAAGGATGAGGAACGCGAGGCTATGCAGGGACAGGTTGAGGAGGAAGAAGAGGTCAGATAAGCTTTGGTCAGCCCGAGCCTGGCAAGATGGACCGTAAATGTTCATGAAGAGAGGTGGAGGTTGTGTGTGTGTGTGTGTGTAAGGAAGGCAAAAGGTGGGAACAATGTAGTGAAAAAAAGTAAGCAGATCCATGCTTCAGGCACAATTCAATTCAATTCAAGTTTATTTATATAGCGCCAAATCACGACAAGAGTCGTCTCAAGGCACTTCACATAATAAACATTCCAATTCACACTTCATTAAGCCAATCAGAAATAATGTTTCCTATATAAGGAACCCAGCAAATTGCATCAAGTCACTGACTAGTGTCAGTGACTTTACAGCAATCCTCATACTAAGCAAGCATGCAGCGACAGTGGAGAGGAAAACTCCCTTTTAACAGGAAGAAACCTCCAGAGAATCCTGGCTCAGTATAAGCAGCCATCCTCCACGACTCACTGGGGATCAAGAAGACAGAGCGCGCGCGCACACGCACGCACGCACGCACGCACACACACACACACACACACACACACACAGTGTGAGGCTCCCTGATCTCCTGTCCAAGACAACTGTGAATGCTGTAATCGATGCAATCAAACATTTAATAGAAGAGCATCTCTGCAGACGTCAAAAAAGCTGGAATGTTTTCCGTGCAGCTCGACGCTGCTCACGATATTACAGGGAAAGATTAGCGTTCTGTCATTTTGAGGTACGTCACTGATGCAGCCCATGAAAGGCTGCTTGCAGTCATACAATGCAGCACAACAACAGGGCAGTCTTTAGTGGCCCTGTTAACTGAAGTACTTGAGCGTCTCCAGCTGGATGACGGCCTGTGCATCAGCAGCTCCACAGACGGAGCCTCTAATATGCAGGGTCAATACAGAGGGTTCTCTGCATTAATGGCATCTAAACCCCACCCATCTGCACGTGTGGTGCCATCCACACGTACTTAACCTTGTGTTGGCAGAAACCGCCCATAGTGTCATTGAAAGTGGATCACTATTTGACCTGCTGAATGACACCGCTGTATTCATCCGGGAATCATACACTAGAGTGAGCGTGTGGGAGACTGAGCCAAGACAAAAGGCACAAACGCATGTCGTCAGCGGGAGAGACAAGATGGTGAGCCAAACATGATTCACTGAGGAAAGTTTTTGAAAACCATGGCAGACCTGATGGTGGTCTTTATGTTGAAGTGGTGTCCACACTGTCTGCCATAATCAGCCTGAAGACACTTGCAACGAAACAAATCAGTCATTTCTCCGGATTTGAGATCACCTCACCCCTGTGTCACTGTCACTGTCAAAATACCTACAAACCGGAGGAATGGACATCCTCTCGGCACATAGAACGGTCACCACAACACAAGACTCACTGAAGGAGATGAAGAGATTTCCCAGCTGTCAACGACACAGCTGTCCGTTTTGTCCGCTGGGCAAATGAAAAGCTGGAGGCTGCACTGCCCCAGAAGAGGGTGAAGAGGAAGAAAGTCCTGGCAGGACAGATAGCCCAGGATGAAAGCCTCAGCGATTCACAAAAGGCCTATGAGGTCAATGTTCACCATCAGATTCTTGATACAGCTGCTGAGGACATGCATAGAAGATTCCTTACTCATGTCTGCAGACCTATCCCTGCTACATCCCAAAACCTTCCCCTCATATAAGGACTCAGCATGTGCCTTGTTGTGTATGGCGGCAGGGCGACTGTTACCAATCTACAAAATGAACTAAAGAACTTGGCACAGCAATGGGACAGGCTGGTACAGTCACCCTTGGACGACTACACAACTACAGCAGTCGAAGAAGAATCAGATGATCATGCAGAGATGGACATAATAAGCAAAACCTGTTCCTCTTGCAAAAAGTGTCCCCTGCGCTGCTAATATGTTGACTCATGCACACCCCTTACTTGGGTTGGCATATACGTTTCTGCTGACCCTGTCCATAACTCAGGTAGCCTGTGAGCGGTCCTTCTCAACCCTGCGAGGTACCAAAACCAGACTGAGAAGTTGCCTGTGTAACGTGATGAAGGAGCTGTTTCCACCAAGGATTTAACCTCTTTCCACAGTTCCTCTGACACAGCGCTAGAGTGCATGAGACAGCCTCAAGGTCACGCATTTGCTTCTAAACTGTTTACTTTCCAGCAAAAGAAGAAAGATGATGGAGACTTTTTTCTTTTATTAAATCAAAGAACTCTATTTTTAATAAAGCTAATCAAAACAACTTAGTCGATAATACAATGTGACCGATCTGTGAAATCACAATGTCATGATTAATATGTTTAATAAGTAAATGACTTATTCTAGTTCACTAGACACACGTAAGGTAAACAGCCGCATGACACATTGCTGTTGCTGATCCAATCAGAACCTTCCTAGTCTGAAGCGTGGCAGAGTCTCTGTGGTGTTTATAAATCTGCCAGCTTTGATTCGACCAGAATTCAAAGCATCCAGATTAATAAAACCAGTGCAACGCCATCTTAAGTTCAGTTCTCAAGATCTCACTGAGTTCACCGCATGCTAAGCGAAGTATCGGACCGGCCATCTGTACATCTTTTTAAGCTGAGAACCATCAAGCTAGGACAAAATCCGTTGTTTTTACCAACCAAGCAATGGTACCTTTCAGAATAAAAGCTGAACTCGCTGACCCAAGGAGGGTCCCCTTTTGACGCTGTGAAACACCTGTCGCTTTTTACCTGGAGACTATCCAAAGACTGGTTTGTCGTACTGTCGACGCTGATCCATCGGCTCCAGTACAGGAGGAGGGTCGTGGACCTGACATCCGGATCTGTACGGAGATCCCACTGAGGGTATGTGGATGCGACAAAATGGCGTCTGATGTGTTTATGACTACCCTGGTCAAACTCTGACCAGTTAGGAGAAAATATCATCTCCCACTCAGACTCGTCTCTCCGGATACGAGAGTTCTGATAATAACACGACTCGCACACACATCCATCATTAGAGTTAGTATAGTTTAAATTTTTTAAAATTATTTAGTAATAAATCATCTTAAACGTTTGAAGGTCTCTCTCTCTTCTCTTGTCGCTCAGTTAATACAAGGTGTTGTTTAATCCCTGCATTAAAAAGTTCCAATCTTCTGATTTAACAACCCGTTGGTCCGTAAGATGGATTTCATACTCGATATGAAACTTTCATGTCTTACGGTCCTTAATTAAAAGGAAATTACTATCATCACACCTGTGTGCCAGCGAGCTGGAAGCCTTTACGTTGATGATCACTGAAAAGGATCCTCGTCTCCCTTGAAACTGGCACAGTGATTGACAGAGTTGCAGAGAAGTGTGAATTACTGAAGAAACTACTTTTTAATGTGAGATATATGATCAATATAATTGTGTTAGAGTAGTGGATTACGTTTTGTGACAGAAAATAATGTCATTATTGTTTTGTTCGGTCTTCTCTCACAAGGCTCGCTTTCAGTTGTTAAAGTTCATACTTGTTCAGTTTCGTTGTCTTGCTATATATTTGAGGATCATCGGAGAGCCATTCAACAGTTCTCCAC